TTTAACGACCATTCTGTTAAAGAACAAATTCCTGGATATTTTGATAATACTGAACTCCCTCTTATTTGTTATATTTACAAGAAATCTACCCGAAAATTTGTGTTTAATTATAGCCAAGTCTGTAAAGATGTAAATATCAGTGAAAATACATCTCCGTCATGTAATTGTAGTAATTCCGAATACACTTATGGTCCCATTTCCCATGTTATAACAGGAGACCTTAACATCGTTCGCGACCGAGAGTTAAAATCATTCCTCAGTAAAGGACCTAAATATCGTCCCCCGTCAATTATTAATTGGAATGAGTGTCGTAATATCATCCACGACTCACTTCGTGTTTACTGTTTGAAATGGATAAAACGGGAAAAAGCTGACAAACAATCTTTGAACTATTTTTTACAACATTTTAAAGAACATTTTACTCTTAACAACAACCATAAAAATCCCATCTCTCGTATCAAACATAAACTAAAAGAACTAGCCAAGGAATTTGTTTTTGTCCCGGCTGATAAAGCTGCTAATAATATCATTATAGTTTGACGTAAATTTTACATTGAGGTTCTGCAAAAGGAAATCACGAATTCACCAACATTCCAACTGACTTCATTTTCAGAAAACGATATCTGTAACAGACATAAACTATTAGCTACTTCTTTACAAGCAGAACCAAATACAATGAAAGTCCCAACTGTGTACTGGCTTCCAAAGCTACACAAATCACCTTACAAATATAGATTTATTTCATCTTCAAGTCACTGTTCCACTACTGAATTGTCTATTCTACTTACTAGTACACTTGGTACAATCAAAAACCTGATAATAAATTGTTCAAATAAGGCTTTTGAAAATAGTGGAATTAACTACTTTTGGAGTGTCAAAAACTCGTTGGAAGTACTTGATAAATTGCATGCATATATTGGTGATTTTGAATCTGTTCAAAGTTTTGATTTTTCTACCCTATATACCACTTTGCCTCATATTCTTATTAAGAAAAAATTCACACACCTAATTAAGTGGTCATTTAAAAAGTCGGAATGCGAATACATATGTTCAAACTCTTTTAGGTCATTTTATAGTAGCAACAAACAAAAGAGCTATGTCAATTAGACATGCTTTGATACTATATCTGCCCTTGAATTTTTACTTGATAACATTTTTGTTCGCTTTGGAGATTCCGTATATCGTCAAGTTATCGGAATTCCAATGGGGACTAACTGTGCACCACTTATTGCGGAACTGTTTTTGTATTGTTATGAGTTACAATTTATGACTAAAATCAGCAAAGACACATCGAAACAACATCTGATACAAAAATTTAACAATACTTTTAGATATTTGGATGATATATTGGCTCTCAATAATGACGACTTCAGTATGTATACTTAAGAAATTTATCCTGTTGAACTTACTTTAAATAAAGCTAATACTAACAATGACCACTCTCCTTTCCTCGATCTTGATATCCATATCATTAACGGGAAGCTTAATACAAACATTTATGATAAAAGAGATGATTTTTCATTTCCTATCGTTAATTATCCATTTTTAGATGGTGACGTTCCCTTGTCACCATCTTATGGTGTTTATATATCTCAACTTGTACGATTCGCTCGTGTATGTAACAACGTATTAGATTTTAACGAGAGAAATTTATGTATTACTGAAAAATTATTACACCAGGGTTTTCGATATCATAAACTAGTCAAAACATTTACTAAATATTATCATCGGTATAAGGACATCATTCGTAAATATAACTCAACATGCAGACATCTTATACGTTCGGGTATTTCACATCCAATCTTTTATGGTAATATTCTTTACAAAGCACAAAAATGTCAGTATTCACCTCTGAAGCTAACAAAACCTTTAAACAGACTTATTAAGAAGGGATATAGTTACGATACTGTTGTCAGGTCATTAAAGATTGCATATTTTGGCTTTAATATTGATTCACTTATAGGGTCTTTGCATCGGAATTAAACATATTTATTCTAAAACCAGTTGTTGGCATGACACGGGTTATGTTCTTCTCATATATTTTATGACGGTATAATACTAAACCCCTTACAGGAGGGATTGTGCCTGATATTCATATGATGAAGACATAATCTTTCAATCAGTTTAATTGAGGTCTGGAGCTGGCATGTCAGTAACTGCTAGTAGTATGTTGTTATTTATGTATCATTGTCATTTTGTTTATTTTCTTTTGTTTCCTATTCTGACATCGGACTCGGACTTCTCTTAAACTGAGTTTTACTGTGTGTACTGTTGTTCGTTTGTTTTTTCTACATTGGCTAGAGGTATAGGGGGAGGGTTGTGATCTCAGAAAACATGTTTAACCCCGCCGCATTTTTGCGCCTGTCCCAAGTCAGGAGCCTCTGGCCTTTGTTAGTCTTGTATCATTTTTAATTTTAGTTTCTTGTGTATAATTTGGAGTTTAGTATGACGTCCATTATCACTGAACTAGTATACATATTTGTTTAAGGGCCAGCTGAAGGACGCCTCCGGTTGCGGGAGTTTCTCGCTGCATTGAAGACCCATTGGTGGCCTTCGGCTGTTGTCTGCTCTATGGTCGGGTTGTTGTCTCTTTGACACATTCCCCATTTCCATTCTCAATTTTACCATAATAAAACAATAAATGATTTTACAAGTAGCAGGATCAATGCTGATGTATGTTAGATGATGCGGACAATAACTTAAAACAGTGTATGCTTGACAGCAGAATGACTACAGGTGTCTATTGTCCCGTGTGTTATTCACCTGAATATTTTACCTCAAATTATAGATAGACAGTGAATTGCCTCACTAAACCATGTATCTTGTGAACGAGAGGGGTTAAGAACGATCGTAGCTTTCCATTGAAGTCTTGTATGGTCGGTGTGTTTATTACTTAAATGTAACTGAATAAGATTTAAAAAAATATGAAAGGTTTCTTTATATTGGTATTTAAAACAAATTAATAAAATTATATTTATACATGCACATGGATGTCTTTAATAAACCAATTACAGAAACTGAAATCTATTGAATATATAAATTTTGTAATTATTTAAAATTGAATCAAATAACTACACGTAAGTTCACGTAAAATTCACATGAATATTTTCATGTGAGTAACATGTATAAGCTCGTTTGAGATTCATCTCATGTGGGATTTTTAACGTGAATTTCACGTGAGATTCATGTGAAATGCAATGTTTTACTATAAAGAAACTCTGAAGACATGACATAACCCAAACAAACAACGTATAACGAGGACAAATAATTAGAGCTATGCATATTATATATTAGATATAAGAAGATGTGGAATGAGTGCCAATGAGACAACTCTCCATCCAAGTCACAATTTGTCAAAGAAAAACCATTATAGGTCAAAGTACGGTCTTCAACACGTATGTATATATTACAGTTCCTTAGTGAACGAAATTGAAAATCGAATGGAAACGCATCTACTAATGTTCGTAGTGGGACGGACTTATATGTCTTATGCAAGTAAGGAATCAGTTGTATCATGTTGATGGTGATAATAAAACGGAAGAAGAAGAAGAACGTTGTACAAATGAATAAGGAACTAATTACTGGATAGATTAAGATGTGTTAAACGTGAATCTTATTTGACATAATGTTCGATAATGGTGAAAGAGAAAATAGACTTTTTCAGTTGAATTTGGCAACCTAAACTATCTGTATGACTCAAAATATGATATACCATATTACATCTTCATTTTGTGCATCCCAAAATTCAGGAACAGTATATCGCCTGAACAATATAATTGATAAAAAACTGGACAGTACCAACACTGAGTTCAATTTCTCATCAACTCAGATTTCAATAAAAAATAAACAATTTAAAATGAATGATATTTTGAATACATACATTTGTATTCGAAGCTCATTCTACTTGTCTGAGTTTGGGTCGTTTTTGATAATCTATTGTTACATCACGTTTATATCAATTTCTGAATTTCCGGGTTGTGTCATTTTTGCTAATCTATTGTTACATCACGTTTATATCAATTTCTGAATTTCCGGGTAAAGTGGCGTCGAGCATCACTAAAGATACTCTTTTTGTTCAACTGCTCATCTGGTGCATTACAATGTGAACCGTTTAATGTTATGATGTATTATATTTTTTCTAAAAATATATGATTTATGAAAACCAAATTAAGGATGTTCGCTACTCTTGTTTTTGAACTTTTGCCAGATATTCGGAATCCCCTGGTTTTATCCATGTAGTGCCATTATAACCCCTACTTTCTTTTCATAATTTTATTACATATAGTTTGAAAAGCTATATTTGAAAATCTTATAAAATCCTTGTTATTTTTACATTGTTTTTGAAAAAAAAAGGTGCCAATGTTAAATGTATGAAAAACCTAGAGAGAATCATTTCCCGCCAAATTTTCAATGGCAAATAGCTCGAAAACAAGCACACGGACCTTTAATTTTTGTCTACTTTTTTAGTTCCTTTTTTTATATACTATCAATTTATAACACTTTTTTAAAAAGCTTGTTATTTTGAAACAGAGTAGCGAACATCCTTAATTCGCTTATGTTATATAAAAAGTAAAATCACAAAAATACTGAACTCCGAGGAAAATTCAAAAAGGAAAGTCCCTAATAAATGAGGCTTTATCTAAATATCAAACTGAAAACTTTGAATAAACAGATATTATTATAACTAATGATCGATCATTTACATTATTTGAAGACCAAAAACAGGTACAAAAATGCCTTTATTACCTTAAGTATTCTATGAATATTAGTACACTTATACTCATACAAAATCATATTTTTTGCAGGAAAACAATTAAAGTACATGTACAATCACACCTTTGTATACAAGGGTACAAGTAAAGCAGTTACGTTGACTAATAAAAGCATTTGTAAACAAAACATAGGCATAACTGCCTTTTTTTCAGTTTGTGATAGTACACATAATAAATGTCTGGTTTTCCCGTGCTTTGCATTTAACAAATACACTGAAAGATACACAGTGTTGTAAACATCATTATATATTTTTTCATGAATAATCATTATGTTATTAATTTTTAATTTCTTTATCTATAATGACTTCATTTGGTGTTGAATCTGATAACAAGATGTAAAATGTTTGACTTAGTAAATAAGTAAATACTTCAAAAGTAGAGATATTATATCATTTTTCTTGTTTTCTTATCAAGATTTTTTTTTTTATTTTAAAATTTCGTAAAGACATCAACAAAAAAATGTTTTTGTATACATGTTGTTTTTCATGAAATGTATTATTTGTTCTACTACATTTTCTGGAGAATTATTTGATAGCTTTGACTTTAGCTTCAATTGACACTAGTATACGGTATCGTTTGAAGTTAAGAAAGACGTTTCATTAATACCATTTAAAAATTATTAAATATGAACATGGATTACTGTCTAAGATAGATGCCCTTTAAATAATCCAACCCTCCAGTATGTACGCGTTCCAGAGCAAGCATCAACCTGTATATTGTAGGTTTTACTTCTCTTGACGATTTCCATTTTCTCAGGATGTCTTCAATCTGAAGGTACATATCCCTTGGATGCCGAGTCATTGTCTCTTCTATCAAACTAACACTTATTCCTAGCTCAATTCCGAGTTGTATAGTGCAGTTACCAAGATTCTTGGGGAGACCTTGCAAAACATCATCATGTGGAACTTCTTGTAGTCGGACATCTGCAATATCTGTCAAAAGAATCATAATTCATATGATATACATTTATAGAGATTTTACCACTGCATCAAATGGGATAAGATGTTTTTTTTCAATTCGAGACGGTTAAATTTTAAAATATCAAACGCGAAGCTCGCCGATCGTTTTGAATATTTAACATTTAACAGTCGAGAGTTGCTACATATCGTATTCCACGAAATGTGGTGGTGGAATACGTTTCTTCTATGAATTTTACACGATAAACAAATTTAATCCTTTTTTTCGAATAATCTGGAAAAAGATGTGTTCTTTCTATGTGACGTCATAAGAAATGGTCGCCTTTGTTCATTACGTCACAATGGTAATGTGAGAAGAGAGCAAGAAAATTTGACGTCATAATCGAATACTGAGATTAAACGAAATAAAAATAATCAGCAGGTCGGGAAAAGGATATATCGGGTAAAAATTAGGGGAAAATTATTTATATTTTTTAGGGAATTCCATCGCATTCGATCTATCTTTAGATAACATGTTACATGTAAATCAGTCAACGGACTGTGAACAATTCAATTATTTTTTTTTTTGAGAAATGTGGATGGGCATGTTTGTTATCAATAAGAAACAATGAATCAGTTTCATAAAATGCATTAAAGCTAAGATCTTTAATCAAAAATATTAAGGAAGAAAAATAGTGACTCGATAAATTAACAGCAAACATATTGACAGATGAATTAAAAGAAACAAATGCAAAGGAGCAAAGCGGTAAAAATAGTTCGTGCATATACTCAATAAATATATAAAGATATTTATTTCGAATTTTTCGTCACAATTTGAAGCTTCAGTGATGATCATTAATTAAAGTAAAATTAATAATTTATTCAATTTGAATGCTACTAACTGGTCCTAATTTAGGATCATTGGAATTTGAATCTTCAAACATGACCCAGAATATTAAAAATAATATCACAACTTAAGATCACAGTAGTTTTTCGATTTTCAAGACCCGCCAATCGACAAAACAAAATAATAAACACAAATTAAGGGAATGGCATGAACACCAGAATGAGCGAAACTGGAATCCGCAACAGACTGATCGTCTCCAGCTATGCAAACATTATCCGCCATATTAATCCACACTAAGAAGTAATAACGACCGTATAACTGATTTAGTAGTTTTACAGAGACGCTCATTTCTGCAAATAATCTAAAAGAGGCAATAAAACATAATTCGAAAAAAAGTTAAAAAGCCTGTATAAATATAATGTAGAGTAAACATTGAATGCAGTTTAATATAAATCGAAGTGTTTTTTTTTTTATCAAATTTTTAAATAGTCATATACAAATATGTTCCATGATGTATACTGAATAGGATTAAGGTCGCAATCAGGAATTGATTGACCGATGGGATATGTATTTGTCTCAAATCCTTAGCGACATTAGACACCAGAATAGTTTTGAATAGCTACCGATTGCTGTACAGTTTTAATTGAACAGAAAGTGTTCTATCTTCATCTGATGTGATGCAAGAGGAACAATTTTGTAATATTTTTAACGTGTTGGCAATTTTGAAATTTGGTTTTTGCATGTAAAGATTGATAATAAACATTCTTACCTAATAAATGTGTGTCTTCCCTAAACACCTGAAATGAAATAAGTCGAACAAATTTCTTCGTTAAAACATATACGTGGTGTATGATAAATAATAAGAAATAAATCCTTAATGACAGAATTACAACATGCAATAAAAAAAGAACTATTTGTTTATCTTAGGGGGGTACAGATCACCTAACAGGGAGTTAACTCTTAAAAATCAGCTGAACGTTTTAATCACACACTATTAGTAAGAAGAAAATCAAGCTTTTCAACGATCAAAATTAGTGTTTGTCAAACTGCTATATACAGTCCGTGTAACGTAAAAGTTAACAATACGAACGATGCCCGAATCATGTACGACGATGCCCGAACGATGTACGTACGCTTCCCGAACGGTGTACGAATGCAAACGAAACGCTGACCGAACGTTGTACGGACGCTGAACGAATGATGTACGAACGAAACCATATACCATAAACCATACCATAAACGATATCATAAGCGCCCTTTTATCGTACATCGTATGGTTTTGCGTACATCGTTTCATTAAGCGTATACCGTATCGTTTAGCGTATTAGCGTACATCGTTTCGTTTAGCGTATATCGTATCGTTTAGCGTACATCGTTTCTTGGCGTGCATAGTTTCGTTTAGCGTATATGTTTTTTTTTTAAATATAAAACATGAATGGTGTTCTATTTAATTTTTTTATATAGGTGATAATAGGCGTAAAATTTAGATTGGATGCATGTTTCAGTTTTTAATTAATAATTTAATAAATTATAATTTGATCTGACTCGATGTTGATCCAAAATTATTTACATAAAACGTTTGAAAAATAAACACTGGAATAAATTTAAACAAATTAAAAGATACGATTATGAATTTTGTTAGCCGTAGAAATACGTACTTGGTGAATGTGCGAGTAAACTGCAGTCTGCATGGTATTTAGTCAACATTTTTTGAAAATAGCCCAAGGTATTAACATTATTTTTTTTACCTAAATGAACAATTGATTTAAGATGGAATTCGAAATTAATCTAATGTTCTTACAAAAGTTTATTTGTGGTCTTAAGGTTGACCTTTTGTCGAAAAGGTTTGTTAAATATTTTTATGTATTCTCTTTTATCGCATGTATTTTAAAATCGACTGAATAGCAGTTGTATCCATATATCGTAACCATTTTTTTTAGATTATAGTTTTTTTTTATTCATCTATCAAATCAGTCGAAAAAAAACAAATATTCGAGAAATTTCAAATAAAAACAATTACTCGTTATGTGCCTCATCAACCCTAAACATAAATCCCTACCGATGTACATACGATTGTGTATTATTTTAACTATAAATGCACTTGACTTTAAACTATCATCAACAATTGTCCGGCAAAAAAACTAGACCCTCTATTCTTTAATTTTCTTATACCATTTGCCTCTGTTCTTTATTTTCCCGTTATACTCTATTTTAATTTTATATTTTTTTTCTTTATTTTCCTGTACCTAAACCTCCTTTATTCGGAGCAACCCCACCCTAAATATACATATGATACACACGGTCTATAGGTAATCGCTTGTGCCGTGATACACATGTTTGCATAACAAAGGATGTCCTTGTTCATATTTATAACATTTTAAATGTCCTCCTAATAATACATATATTAGTTGTCAATGGACATTAAACAGCTAACTCTAAATTCATCCGTCATATTCTTAGTTTTGTTATAATATGTAAATCACACAACATGATGAACAAATAATTATTGCAGATTTTCACTGCCGAAATAATGGGAAATAATTGTAAACAAAACCACTCAATCACATCCCTACGCCACAAAGTCTAGCCTTTTCACATGTAAATAAATTATTTTCATAAATCTATTTCAAAATAATTTTAAACAATTTTAAATCAAACGGTCATTTTTCTTATTTGCCAAAAAAAAAAAAAACAACATTAAACAGTTATTTTCATTTCTTATTTTAAACAGATCGATTGTTTTCAATGGTCGGTGCCTGACAGCATCTATAAAATCTATCACCATGTTTGCCAATAAGAAAGCTTCATAGAACAGGAAAACAACAATGTCTTATAGAAATACTTCCAGGCCATATTTTCCAATTTCTGTTGTAATGTGGTTTAATGCAAAAAAGGTAACTCCTGAATACTGATTTGTACCCATCAAGCATTTGGGGTTAATAACAAATCTATGGTAGTCTCTTTTTCTTTACTCGCAAAGTATTCGACTAAATCATGTTTTATTTATGAAAATTGCTCATTGCTGACGAATGTTAAATATTGATCCCTAGATTTTCAATTGTTTAGTTGTTAGGTTACTGTCTGATCTCGCAAACCTGACATTTTATGGTCATTATGTTTTGCATCCAATTGCACCAATTTATTAAAAAGATATTAACGCGACACCGTACGAGAGTCGTTACTTTACATAAACTACTTGTATTTTTTTTTCTATAACGAAATACGAAACCACTTCTCGCAATTCGCTTTGGGGTAATTGTGCTTCTCTTTTGACAAAATATGGCCTTGTCTCAAAAACAAAAAGTATAATATAATATAGAGTAATATATAAAACTGGACTACAGTGAAGAGTTAGGAAGTAGGAATTCCGAATTTTAATTGAATGTTCTAAATCTTTGTGTTTTTCTGATAAATGATTGTACAGACTCAAAAAAGTCTTTGTTTTGCTGAAATGAAAGGTCACCGTCACCAGCCAATCGAAACAAAATGGATATAGTAGATCTTTCTAATTTTGAAAACAATATTTCTGTTGCTTCGTTGATAAAAGGGCACTTAAAAAATAATGAATACTATCCTCAACAGGGTGGCCACAACTGCATGCAGGATTGGGTTTAATATTTATAAGGTTTAAATTTGCATTTGAAGAACTGCACCATATTTCTCAACTGTGTATCAATGATATTAAGATTTCTATCACCACAACTAAACTAGGAAGTGCGTACTGTGAATAAATTATTATACTCAGTTTACTATTGCTTACAACAATTTGTCACATATAATACCACGTTAACAATTAGGCCCGAGAACACAGTTATTTCGTAGTGCATTTCTTTTAGACAACAAATTCAAATTAAAAAAATCGCACCTGCTCTATCTCAAGAAAGATTTTTACAGTGTAGTGTACTACTATTGGGACAAATAATATCAAAATTATTGAAACTTCTACCAGCTCCAGAGGAGGGGCGACAGCCTTAGGTGCTGTGTGCAAATTTTTGTAGGTCACGTGGTACGATTTTAGCGTCTCTCGACAATTTTGAATCTGGAAAAGATCGATCTGTTCATGTTTTTATATCAAATATACTCTCTTGCACTCGCAGAAAATATAGAAAGTTTTGAAATAAAAAGATTAATCAATGATAGAAGATCACTTTATATGAAATATTTTCTTTATGTTTTTTATCTTTTAAGTAAATTCTATCAATAAAGAAATGCACTGTAATGGCGGGAAATTTTATTCGATCTCTGCGAAATCACGAGGCACAGATTTTTGTAAATTTTACAAATGTCAGCACGTGAAAATCATTCAAATTTATGCTAATTAAAGAACACTATTCAAACATTCTAAATCTTCTTAAGTCTCCTTAAGTCTCCAGCCGTTGCTTTGTAATAAGTCGCTAAATATGATTTCCGGTAAGTAAAATATCAATAATATTTGTCAAATCCGCTAGTAATTATGTTATTTTAGGCATATAAACTCTTATATGTATTTTAATCATTTTGAAAACAAAATGAAAATTTTGTCTTATGAATAACCATCATGAAAAATATAGTTTTTTTTCATAATTGAATCGTGCATTATTTGTGTATTGGATTGCTTAATTGCCTTCTCTCTAGTGTTATCTCTGTTTTGTTAACTGACAAATGACGAAATAATGCAATATTTAAAATTAAGTATTTTACAAAACTTTGTCCCGATTAAAAACTTAAAACCGATTGAATAAATTGAGAATTCAGTGATTATCGATGTCGAAATTAGCCCTTGGTAATAAACAGTTAGTTTGGGTATAAATATGTTTATTGTCAAGAAATAACTAACAAATTTGTTTATTATGTATGTACAAAGTATATATGTATATTGCATGATCAGCCCACCTGTATATTACTTGTTTTTTTTAATTGATTCAACAAATTTCGTTTGTCCAGGTGTCATTAACGGTGATGTCAACACCACGAGTAGTTTGATATAAATGACACAATACCACCGCGACCGATCGATAATATAAGACAAATCTGCGTGCCGTGTGCAGAGTGTCGTCCCTCCTCTATACCAGCTCTAACTCAAAATATTGACAATTCTGTGATAAGGGGGTCTAAAATTCAGTTTGACAGCTTCAGACGTACTAATTTTTTACCTATTTTAACTGGTCCAAATCACTCCTTAAAAGATTCAGCACCCAAATTGTTTTAACATTTAATTTCATCCCCCTTCTTGATATTTCATGCATTAAATTTCAAGAAATAAATTGGGAAAGTATATCAAAAAAAAAATGCAAGTTATACACTGTTCACACTAGGGACTATATTCGTAGGGTGACGGTGTTTGACAGTCTGAAGGAGACAGCATCAAGGATTTAATAAGGCAAAGCTTTTGTTGTACTCAATCTTACTTTAAGTTTTCTTTATTATATTTAATAGATATATATCCGAGATACGATAATGTAGTTTTCTTTTTTATACCTGATCATCTATGATATATATATGGAACTTTTTAACGACCTTGGCTGGCTTTACAGCCCTTGCACGGTCGGTTCATCTATGATGATGATGATGGGAGTTTTAAACGACCTTGACTGGCTATACAGCCCTCGCACGGTCGGTGTGCAAATGATGTCATCTATAATACAACAAATGGAAGTTTTTAACGACCTTGACTGGCTATACAGCCCTTGCACGGTCGGCTCATCTATAATGGGATATTATTCCACTTTTTATACATATTGATAGTTTAATCAATATCTGATTGGTTGAGACTATCCCACGTGTCGTTGAACAAATCTTCATATTCCATTCTGAGGAT